CTACCGTCAGTAATTTCATCTATTAGGAATGAGTTGTGGTGAAAAGCTGTAGTTGTTCTAAAATTATGCAGACGAATGTAACCATATCGGCGAGACCACTAACAATAATAATTCTAACAGTAGTTCGTGGAATGATAATTAAAAGTGATGTGCAGTAATAAAAATCGAAACCATTTCCATTTCAACAAACGGAATTGCTGTCTTTCCTTCCTCGTTGTTATTCGCCACATAAAAAGTCACTTTGTGTGAATTACCTACTGGTCAATACATCTGCATATCTATATATATGTTATGCTATGTCAGACATACATTCATATATATATATATATATATATATATATATACATATATGGGCACATGTGGCGCAGTGGTCGGAAGTGCCCTGCGACACACACGTGGAATTGATCCCCAGCCCGCCATCCCTCCGGGGTCGGCAAATTGGTACCAGACTTGTCTGGGAGGATAGCAGCACTGGCTCGATACATCGATAGGCCACCGCGAGTTATTGTAAAGGCCAGATATGCATTCAACCACCTCCAACGATACTTAATCAAGTCGAATGCGTGGCGCATCCCTCAGTGATTGATCAACGCCGCGAGCTTTACCCTTTATCTTTTTTATACATGCATATATACATATATTTATTATTATTATTTATTATTCTATTTATTATTCGTTACGATTCGAATTAGAGCAGTGAACCGTGGATTTATCGAAAGGTGACATACGATGATCATCCTGTGTCCCTTTCTTTCTCTCTCTTCCTCTTCCACTTCTAAATTGCTGATTATTCCTCGTATTCTGATCGGTCAGTGTTTTGTGAACACGCGCGCTGTGCACAAAAAACACCGCCGCATTTTGAATAGCCTCTATTGACCCTGCCAACGATTCCAGCAATTCCATATTCCGTCGAAATGAATCTACACCGCATCCGCCATATCATCCTTGTTCGTTTGTTTTCTGTATTTCCCTTCGGCTGGTAGTCAGCAGCATAACCAGCCCTGTTTCGTGTTATCTGCTCATTATTTGCATGAAATGAAGATCACTCAAACATCGCCTGCTGACAGAATTATTTTGGTGCCGGAGGTAGACGTTGAAATCGAGCTCGGCTCGAGCTGTTTGACATTGTTTCGTTTAAAGAAAGCCATTAGAATTATTGTCGTCCATTGAAAGCAAACTGGTTTGCTTTCGTGGAGTCGTAGCCTCCCTGGTGAGTTTACTAGCATTCATTTATGACGAATATTATCGAATATCATAGTGTCATCGACCAGTTTCTGGCTATTCATAATCACTACGCATCACTTTGTCGACCATTTTCACGCATTCAAACTACTTAATTATTCATGCCAGTTTGACATCCACAGCAACTCACCATCTATACGCTTACCTGAATTGTCTACCTATTGGCTCTCAAGAAATCATCTTCACAAGCATCCAATCTTTAACATGTTTTTTTCTGTAAAACGATGAAGTCCATGACCTTAAGTATCTTGTTAATGCTACTTCCCTAGTTACTATCATCTGGAAGGTGAACAATACCGTTACCCATGGAGTAGCTCTAGCTGATATCAGTGGTCACCATCGTCCGGATCGTGCCAGAGTTGCATGCTGGAGACGCTGTGCACACAGAAAGGACGAGAAGAGCATCACATTTACGGCATGACCCCGTTCATTTTTGCTGCCGACTTTTAGCGAGAAGCTAATTATTGGCACCCGGGCTTTATCGTAGTGTAGACATACAGTATGAAAGAAAGCATTTCGTGCAGACCCATTGATGCGATTTCTATATATTACTATTTAGACATCTAAACAGCTAATAGACTTGTGTCCGAAATTCGCATGGGCTCAAATGAAGCTCTGCTTCATTCCACTCACTCAACATCTTTAGCTACAGTTTCATTGGTTTTGATTTTGCACTGAGTGCTAGCATGATTGCTTCAACGACTAACTAAACATAGAATCATCATTTTTTTCAGGACTTTGTTGCTAAACTTCTTACAGCATTCAACTATTTTAATGATAACTGCAATTAGACTTATGCACATGCTCGCAGTGGGTTGTAAAAACGGTCATACCCTTGATATCACGGCTGTAGAGTCTATCTTGCTGTTGGTGGCATCTGGTAAAAACGTGCGGTAAGGTTCAATTATTTTTAACATAATACTTTATGAAAACGACGGAATCAAGAAGGTTATAAGAGTTTTGTTTGCGCTCTGCTCGGTTCTATTTTCCGAAGAAAGTTGAAGGCCATGCGTCTTCAATGCATCCACGGCTAACAGACAACTGTTTCTATTGTCTTGTACAAAAGATCTGATCAAAATTATTCATCTCATCGCTATTCTTTTCAAAACCGGTACTTTTTCGAAAAGTATTGCTTCGTCTTGGGCACTTATTCATAGCTTCATAGTCATTTTTTGTGCATCGTTTAGTCGTTAGGACCGCTACAATTTCACGACTAACGGCATCACCTCTATGATCTGAAAGCAGATGTTGTGGCTTTGAATGACTTGCTCGAAAAGCTTGTAGCTGACAGTCATTGGAGAGTCTTAAACTCTGAACAATTACCTCTCATTGTGTTGTCTAATTCAAAGAGGAGACTTCTCCACTCAGTGAAACTATCCATGAGCTCCACTCCAAATATTGTTTATTTTTACAAATATTTTTTTCGATTTTCCACCTTTGTAGAAAAACGCTCCAGATGTGCACCAAGAATTATTGTTGCCGAGGTGAAGAATGAACTAAAGATCAGTGCACAATTCACCTTGACGTAGTTTCTGTGTAGCCATGCAGCTGTTGAAATCGCTACTTTCTTAATGGCAAGATTTACAACGATTCCTAAAAAACTGAATGCCGATGCCTCTTAGTGACGAATGCTTATTTCTTTTCTCGTACTTTATCTCTTTATTGTAGGACTTTCACAGAATTGTCATTAAAAGTGCAAAGTTCGAATATCAATGAAATTGAGTTTACAGGAAAACAACAGTGAACTTCATGAAGATTTTTTATTTATTTATTTATTTCATTCTTGTTTACCGTGTTCTTAGGCCAGGTATGCATTCAGTCACCTACAAACGATGGTTAATGAAATCGAATGCATGGCACATCTCTCTGGGATTGATCACCGCCGAGAGCCTTAGAGCTTGTAAGGCTTTCAGCTTTTAGAGGTTTTGCCGTGTCCTTACAAGCAACATACATTTATCAATGGGCAGATATTCAGTTTCGCTTTTTTTCGTAGAATTTAATTAAGCTTTAGAGTTTTTTTAAACGGTAAGATAAGTGGGCGGCAACAACCGCGATACTTCTTTGGCTTCTCCTTGGTCAAACCAGCACTTCGTTGATTCTTTCCTTCGGTATCTTTTTAGCGCTTTCGATCCAAATGTTTTTGAAGGTGAGCGCTTCATAAAAATTATTCCTTCACTTAAGCTCAACAATTATGGTGCTGAGATATTCGCGAAACTTGGACCCCGGGCCAACTCGAACCATGATTTCCCGTTCCGGGAGATCGCTCATTACACACTGAACCGCAGAGGCACTTGTTCTGCGTTTCTCTCCGCTAATTTTTTATTTACTAGTGCTCGCATAATACTCTGCCGTGAACATTGCAGTAGACAGTAAATTTAAAAAAAGAACGTCAAGTTCAACTATTTTCATCTGTTTTTGAAAAAAGAGTTAAAACAGAAGGCTTACTAAGAATGTCTCTCTAACCTTCCTGTAGTCATTGTGAGGTCACACCTTGCCACTCAGTACACAACAAAGTAATCGGGAAACACATGTGAAAACATTATGAGCTCTCATCCACCATTTATATCTGCAGTACTGCGGAAGAAACCCTTTGTGGCTTGGCTGGTATTCCATTTTAAGTAAAATATCTAAACTGGTAACCTCATAGGCATAAAGTACGGTGTAAGTATTACGCGCACAACGACGCAGCACAACGACAACCGTATGAGATGTACATCAGATCGAGGACAAATCTGTTATGATTCTTGGTGATAATCCATGTGTTTAAGATTCTTTAGCCAATTGAAACCTACAAGCTCTGAACCCCTTATATTCCTTACGTGTTAGTTCCAAATAGGGCGCCGGTGGGAGTGGAATGGTGAGCCGGTCTCATTTATGCGGTCACTGACTCGGAGGTCAACTTGTTCCGGTCGGTTATGTAATTTTGTGGCCGGCTCCTTAGTTTATTTATCACTCATTGCGCAAGGGAGGATCAGAAAATCCGTTGCTTTTTAATTCTCCGTGCAACAGATTTTTTTGGTTTAGATCTCAAAAGAACTTTTAATTAGTAAATAAAGACCGTGACCCTATCCGCACTTCCAAACTGTATCTGGCCGTCGATAGTCTCACAATAACACTTTAAACAACTTTGACCACATGTTAAAAGTATGTCAAGTATGTCTTAACATTTTATTTACTGCCTATTCTTTTTTCATGAGAGCGACGATGTGAACTGCAAACACAAGGATGCCGAAACAGCAACACTCGAAGCATCGCGTCGGGTTTGAACCGGCGATTACCCATAGCGGCGCCTTAAGTGCTATCCACAACATCATCTGAATATCTTGCATTACTTTCTTCTCATCCATTTTTTTACTCTCTCTCTCCTATCAGTGTTCACCCTTCAATAGGAAGGGCTGAGAAAAAGAAAAGAGCTACGAGAAAGGCGAAGCGAGGGCCTCGGTTAATCTGGCGAATGGCAAGTGAGCCCTCGGTAAGGGTAATCGTCAGGTGAAAGCCCAACTGAAATTGCGAGTTTTATTCATATCTGAACATCTTTGTAGTTGTAGGCTATATCTAGCATGTGTTCAATCTTTGCAAATTTGCACTACTTTCGAAATTTTCTACACTGATTGTCTAATGAATGTATTTTTTTGTTTTTTTTTTCCCTGTTAAGATTCGCTATAGATGTAACTAGGAACTGAGGTTGTCGTGATGCGTTCATATGGAGTGGTCTGCGAGCTCCTCTCTGCGCTGACGACAAGGGCGAGCAAGCCGCGATGTCTGGACGAACCGGCATTTCGGAACGTCGGTTGCCTGATCTCGGTTGTGGTGCACTCAAGCAGAACATTTCGCTGAGGAAAAAGTGCTCGGATATTCATGCGGCACATTTTACACTGGTGATGTGCACAACGGTGTTTCGAGCGGCGAATTACATTCGTGGATTGCTAGTATTCTACTTCCAAACACCTTTGAAGTGCTATCGCGTTATCGTTGTCGTTTACTACAATTTCCGCATTCTCGAGCTGTGTAAGTCTCAGCAAGGCACTAAAGAAAGCTGACTATATTCATTTTATTATTTCTTTATTTATGTAAAACTATATCAGATATTGTGCAGATACCATCATTCATTCGGCTTCCTAGTTCCACATCCTTTTATTCACGAATGCCTTTGTATTTTGGTGTCTACTTTATAAATGTGGTTGATTTCATCTAGAATCTTGGGATTAGTCTACGTTTTTCGCGTTCTCAGAACCTCACAACTGGGTGCTTCGCTGGCCTATGTGAATCGGATGGAGCACTTCGTGGAAAAGCCTAGTACCAATTTGTAGACTACGTAAGAAATGGATAGGAAGCCTGACTCCCACAGAGCAAGGTCGGACAGATAACCACTTGTTTGTTGCATAGTATATCTAACAGCTTTTGCACCTTAGGTGAGCATATTAGCTTCAAAACTGTCTATGTCTCTCTCTCCCACTCTCTCTTTTTCTCCTTTTCTCTTTCAGTTTCTCTGCTCAATTTATTTCCTAAGTAGTGGCCAAAAACGTAAGGATTCCATCCGACAGCGTAAGCGCCTACTTGTGATCGTTTCTTGTACTAGCAAATAAGAGATTCGCAAGAACAGAGAGGGAGGGAAGGAGTGTTGGAGTATCCTGTAACGTTGGCTATCGACGCCAGAGTTACCGGCCTTTCGTCGCGAATTAAGAGGTTATTTGCCGGTTGAGTTTGTAATCTTATGTTTGCCCCATACCACTCGTCGCTCATCGTCGGAACAATTTCTACGTGACTCTACCGCGTCACACTGATCACTCTAGCTTGATACTCGCTCGAATACACCGTCGTTATCTAATACATACTAAGGACGGTTGTTGCTTTGGTATCAACATAAAAGTATTGTATTAGTCTTATTCTAATAGTATAGGCCAGAAGCGCGCAAGCCGAATATGAGATGAAAGCAGAGTTCGGAAGGCGCATTCATGCAATCGGAATATTTTATTTTTGGTTTGAAATGATACCTAATGCAAATGAACTGTACTGTACAAGTCTTCGAACAAGCTTTCTTCCTACATCTTGGTTTTTGTGAAGGTCTAGGCTCGCAGGACTTGCAGACACTCTGATATCACCTCGCCATGTTATGTAAAATAGTGCGGTATAGCTCATCTTCTATTAAGAGACTTAGGAATTGGATAGCAGAGTTATCTTGAAATGTTTTGCCTATAATGCCTGGGTTTTTTATAATTTAGATTAACTACTGTATAGTGAGAATTTAGGAACCTTGAATTCTTAAATGTCGCTTACGAGGTGTTGACCACGTAACACCGGTTGCATTGGTGCTGTAAAACTCGTATTTCACAAACATTCTCTAAAAGGTCAATAATAAGTCTCTGGAGTTTTAAAAGCTAACGTAGAACACATGATGCTATTAAGCAAACACGAATGCGCCAAATTCTACTCGTAGGGTTCAATACCTAATGGTTTCAAGAACAGATCGAGCAAAGTCAATTTCTTCACCATTTGGGTCCGAAGCTTGTAATTTTATGTCATGCACAACCTTATTCAAAACATAACGACCAGGTGAATTCATTTAAATACATATGACACGAAGATAATAACCATTTTTGACTCTAAATTGGCATATCTTAACTGTTGTTGAACTATATTAGTTCGACCACAAGGTTACTGAGACATGAACAGAACTCGGCGTCTTAGTTGGACTTCGAATTCGCGATTACCCTTAGCGAGGGCTCATTTGTTATCCACCGTACCAACCGAAGCCCTCGTTTTGCCTTTCTCCCAGCCAGTCTTTTACCATAGTGGTGCCATACGCAATCATCCGTCAACGGGAATACTCTGGGGAGTACAAATCGGCATTGAACACAGTTAACCTCAAGCTGCACTCAAAATCAAAATATTTAACTTTTTGTTTAGTACTTATTCTTTTCTCATGGCAGATTTCGATGCGAAATACGGCAAATAGAACCGTATTGTTGCTGAAATATGAACAAAAATCAAATTAAGAGATATAAAAAGGATGTTAAAAATATATGTACTCGAGAAAGTAGTATGCGTCAAAATATATGGTGAAAAGCGCGTGAGCCCGGGAAGTGTAATCGCAGATTCGAAGCTGACTCGAGGTTCCGGGATTTGCTCATGTCTCAGTATCCCTAGCGTTGTGTTTCACAGAGTACCGTTCTTTAAAAAAGAATAGGTGGTGAATACGAGTTAGGAGATTATATTACTTCAAGTAAAACCAGCATATTCAACGGAGATAACCATGCTGAGGCGTCCCCACGTTGTAGAGGGTCAACTGGTCCCAGACATCTCTGGTAACGGCGTCTCCACCTCATATAGTGAGAATCTTGGTGAGCGCGATGCGTGGTATATGCACCGTGCTGGTGATGAACAGCATCACTATAGCCACGGTACCCATCCCCTTTATTCAACATTAACCCAAATTTCCCAATCACCATTCACCAACGTACGGTTTGTTTCGGACTAATATCTTCGGTATAAAATCGTTGTCACTGATTGTCTGCGGTGTGGTAAGAAGTAATAATCACTTTCATGACCAGAGTGATGAAGTTTCTTCTCTTTGTCAGCTTGATGGACGACCTTGACAATTGAAATATCAAAGGAAAAGGACACGCATCTTTAGAGCAACTGTGTTGTGCTTTCGCCACTTCTATAGAAACCCTTTTATAAATTTGCACACAAACTTGTGAACATGTTCAAGCAATTCTTTGGAAATAATCCTTCTGTACCAACGCAAACACAGCTAAACATTTAAATCCCGATGTCTCTTCGGAAATCACAATTCTTTGGAACACATTCCTAGAACTTCATTTATTAGAATTATTTATTTATATTATTTACATTTATTTATATTCTTACTAATTTTATTCTACTCTTATTTATATTCTTACTAATTACTAATTCTTAATATTTATTATATTATTTACATTTATTTACATTCTTACTAATTTTGGTCACTACCACAAGTAAAATCTGTTTATTTTGCTCATATGAACGGCCTTGGGCGAGTAATGACGATCCTTGATAGCAAGGGTGGGGACATCTTCACTTGTCAGTTGACAAACAGCCACTACGTACTTATTCTAGGACTTCAGTCCATTCAGCGTTTACCTGTATATTCACATTGAATTTTGCTCACTCATTTGACCAGAACCAGTGATGCCATTGGGAAGTACTTACGTCGGGAGCGGTTCGAGGCAACTTGTGAAGTATGGGTCCCGCCGAGTATCATGAACAGCACCAACCGTTATGTATGTTAAAGCTGTTAAAATAAAGGGTTAAAGAACAAGGATAAAGCGCTCGGTGTTGATCATTCTCTGCAAGATCCACAATGCATTCGACTTAATCAGACTTCGTAGACGTGATTGAATGCACATCTGCATGCAATGACTTGTGGTGGTTTGCCGATGTATCGAGTCAGTGCTTCCATCCTTCCAGAAAGCCTGGTATAAATTTGGCGGTCCCGGAGAAATGAAAGTCTTGATAAGCCCAGCGTAGGATGGAACCAACCACCACATGCGCGTTGCAGGACACTAACCACTGTGCTACACGCATTCAAAATAAGGGGCTTCATATGAAAATTGTGGTGCTTTCCATGTCCCTTGAGAGAACGGAGCCTGAAATATGAAGCTTCTTCACTCAAAATAGACAAATGGGGAATCGAGTAAACTGAGAGGACTGAATAAGTAACAAGATTGAAGTTGATACACATAAATACTACTATGTGAACTGATGATTTCCTTCAGTCATTCTTGATGCAAATCGTCCTCAGGATGTGATTTTCCCGCATGCTTAAAAAACGTCTCCAACTCATTCATTTTTTTCGGATTAAATCACTGAGTCGGAGGACGTCCGTGAGGACGTACAGTTTTCTGGAAAAAAAGGCGTGATCGGTCAATGTGATTTCGTCATCATTTGCCCTCTGATCCGAAACAATGTCGCTTACACAGCGTCGGTTTGCACAGCTTGCTACCGAGCAGGACAAATCAAATTTCTGCATTTTTCAACTCGTTTTATTTCTAAGAGGTTTTTTTCGTTTATGTAGAATATTTCGTGACCAACGACGCTCACCAAACCGGATTATGATCAGTTTTGGTAGTCTCACTGATTTTGCTCGCACAGAATTCTCACTAGTTCCACTTTAGACTGTTCTTCTTTCGCTGGGTTTGTTATAAAGTCTTCACAACAAATACGAATGCGTCGCTCTTGTTTCTTCCACAGATTTTTCAGTACTGCAAGTGTTTTATTCAACCTGTATTAAATTCGGAAGCAGAGTGTTCATCACTCGTCTCCTCGTTTGCTCCTTCTAGCTTCATTTTAAATATTTTTTGTACAATGGATGAATCGTTTCTATTCAGTTACTCCACTACTTACTGTTTTTCGTAAGAAATTTCTATTTTCACTAGTTTCATGGTTCTTTGTGATTGGTTTCATACTGCATACTCATACTTCGGAATAGGTTTAGAAGAAATATGACGCTCCAAACGACCAGGCTAACGAAAATGCAGTGCCCTTTATCCTGCTCTTATTTCCAACAAAGCAAGCATACCCATAAATGCTTCCAAGCTGCAAACAAGCTTCATAACTTTTCAAATTTTCTCAGACGAAATGTTTTGGGATTGTGTGAGTGCGGTAGCTTTATCTATAAAGCATAGCTTAGTGCTATTCATCAGATCGAACCACCAAAAAGGGGACGACGCGGGGCAACTTTCATTTCTAGCGGTTTGGATGTCGCGTTTACGCGAAAGGATATTTACACCATTGTGGCACTTATTGAGTACAGATGTTGGTCGCCTTCGAAGAGACTTGCGATCTTGAGTGACATCGACGAGACACAAAAAATAAAGATCGTCAGCAGGTGCCGTCACCGTGATCGTGACATCTGGCCTGAAGGACGTGCTCGGTGATTCGCTCGCTCTTCACTGACCCGTCAAATAGTTCATACTTTTTTCCGACTTTATTTTTCAGCCTTTTCTAACTCTGCGATTCGACTGATTGAAAACCGAACTTAAGTGGAGAACCGATGAGA